AACGAGGATGAAGTCCTTGTTCTTGCAAGAAAAAAGACCAAAGACCTCCCTCCAAAGGCTCAATGTTAAAATATCTCTTTTATATTAGCTCATTCTCTTATGTTTGTTTGTTGTACTCATTCATTCCTACTTACAAGAAGAAACACCTCCACCTCCCATAAGCGTACCCAAAGATCAAATCATCAAGACCTTAGTTGCACGAAGCGGGAGCGGGAGCGGGAGCGGGGGAACGTAACCACTTAGAGAAGTCGTAGATTAGGAGCGCTTATATATTATTTTTATGAATTATATTTTATTTATTATAAAAAATAAGGAATAATAAATTATGTTAAAATAAATAACAAATAAAAATTAGATGTTTTATTTTATAAATTCTTTAAGATTTTTTTTATTATATATGATTTAAATAAATTTCTTTTAAACAATTAGATGATTTATTTTATTTATTATATGTTAAAAAATTAAGAAATAATAAATAATAAATTTTGTTAATAAAAAAAATAAAATAAAATTATATTATATATGATAAAATAAATAATTTTTTATTTTAAACATAAAAATTATATTGTTTATGAAAAATTATATTATATATAATAAATTATATTATATATGTGATAAGTTATATTATATAAAACAATCAAATATGAAAATGGAGAGGGAGAGGGAGAGAGAGAGAGAGAACAGAATAGATTGAGAGAGAGAAGCGATAGAAGCAACCAGAGACAAAGGAGAGAAGCAAATAGAGACGAAGAGGAGATCGAGAGTGAGAGAAAAGAGAGAGACGAAGACCTAGGGCTTCGAAGAGAGGGACAAAGACTAGGGCTTCAAAGGGGAAGTCGAACAGCGCGAGATCGAAGTCGTCGAACAAAGGATCGAAGCCAGCTACCAGGTTCTCCCCTTGCCCTCTCAAGAGTGCTTCCTTCTCGCATCAGATTCACGATTCTACTGTGATTCTTCCTCAGAAGCGCAAAATCGCGCTTCTTCCTCAGAGTCGTCACCATCTGAGACGATTCCTGCTACTAAGATCAAGACACTAATCAAACTCCATGGAAACCCACCGACCAAGGTATCATCTAAACCTACCTCCATTTGTATTTATTTATTTATTTTGTCTTTGGCAACCATCCTTCAAGTTTGTCCTTCTAAGGCCCCGTTTGGGAATTGGCCATTGGCCATTTTAGTTGACTTTTTGACTTTTTACAAAAGAAGTACAAAAAGTAGACAGAATGATATAACAACTTATAGTAGTTTTTTGGCTTTTTGGCTAAAAACCACTCTTGCCAAAAGAAATCTTTTAAATGCACAAGAAATCTTTTGCTAGCCCGATCACTAGGCCCAACCCTTTAAGTCCAAGTGTTACCAGATGGTAGCCCAAAAGGGCACCAACCCTATCTCAACTAAGGTTTGGGTTTGGGCATAAGGCATCATGCATTGCATTCCCAAACTCGTGTTGCCCCTTGGTTTAAGGAAAGGTTAAGTAAAGATAGGGTTGGGCCCCTCTATCCTCCTTGATTCTCACATGTGGGCATTGTTTTACATAGCCATCTCCATTATTCATTATTCATTATCTCCATAATACTCCTCAGCTATATTTATACCTGCCATGTGGCTCAATTTGGACCAGCCACTTTCACTACAAATAGCACCTTACCTATAAAGCGCGGATACTTCAAAAAGGGAGACGTATCCGTATCAGATACCGATACTCATTAGATACTTATGGACACATATTAGATACTCCAAGTCATGAATTACTTCTTTACAAAATTAGAATTGTAGCATTTCTTGCATAGCATTAGAATATAATATAATTACAAGGATAAATACAATAATATTTTTTTAATACTTAGTTTAGTTCTTTGATAAGAACAGAATGAGTAAAAGTAATCGAATTTGTCAAATTGATGTATTCTTATTGTTTGATGCATGTCCCCTATAAGTACATAGAAAGTAAGGATTAGCAAAAAAATATGAAAATAGTAAAATTAAATATCAATAAATAAATAAGGAAACTTGAATACAAAATTTTTACTAGTGCCAAGGGAAAAGCACAGTGACAAGTTGTCAATTGTTCTATTATTGAAATATAAACATATTGGACTTGATATTGAAATGAAATATTTGAAAGACTTGTCAAATAACTTAAATTAATACTACTTAATTTTTCAAGGTTAGTATTTTACATCATAAAATTATAACATGATTTTTCAAATTCTTGACCTTATATGTAACTCACTATTAACCTAACCAAACCAAACCAAACCAAGCCAAGCCTTTAAGTCCCATCAAATGGGTCATAATTGTACTTTTTATATTATTTATGAATTTAAAAGAAGGGCAAAATGAGAAATTTATATTATTTTTGTACTTGATTTTTAAAGAGGAACTAATATTTTGGGACAATGAAAAATGGAATAAGGGACTAATATTATGGGACGGAGGGAGTACTTAATTTTTCAAGGTTAGTATTTTACATCATAAAATTATAACATGATTTTTCAAATTCTTGACCTTATATGTAACTCACTATTAACCTAACCAAACCAAACCAAACCAAGCCAAGCCTTTAAGTCCATATATATTTTTATAAACGTATCCTAGCCGTACCCATATCCTAGTTTTTAGAGTTTGTCGTATTGCCGTATCCGTATCGTATTGTACCCGTATCTCGTATCTGTATCCATGCTTCCTAGCACCTTAATCAATTCAAGCAACACTACTACATGAGGTGATACCTAGATGAAGGGGTCATCTTAGTCTTTCTTATGGAAGCATGAAAGTGAATTAATTGATGGTTTAGTGATGTAGCACTATAAGAAGAAGAAAAAATAAGTAAAAGAAGAAAAAGAGAAGAGGAAGAAGATAAGAAGAATGGCTAAGAGCAGAAATCTGCTGAGAAGATAAATAGAAAGGGGGAAAAAAGGATATACCAAAATTTTCAAATATAATAATATGCCAATTTAAAATACGTAATCGTTCTATTCACATCCATCTATAAATACTCCCATAAGCATTGTCCAATCAGGAAATAAAAAATAAAAAATAAAAAGGAAACAAAAATAGAACTAAAATCCTAATGAAATTAATATTTTCTAAATAAACTAAAATTGTAATTCAATCTTCTTGATCATTTTTTTTTTGTTCCCTATCATTTCTCCCAAGTTGAAAAAAACTCCCTCTGTAGAGCTATTAGTAGCACAAATCAATCATAACACAAACAAGACAATGAGTTTCATCCACTCAAGGTTGATTGGGCCTTCCTATTCCATTGGCCTTTAGTCATTTACTAAAATAGGTATGGCTCCAGCAATAATGTCATCTAAGATTTTGCAAAATAAATGCATGCATCTTTGAGGATTGATGTTTTCAATTTGCTACAGAAATAATGATGAACTCATAAAAGCCACACTGCAACTTAACTGAGCTAATCCTGAGATCAGCAATTTGGTAAGAAATTTTAGAAATCACTTGCTGTTATTCAACACTGCTCATATTCCATACAGTTACAGTCCTTCATGGACCAATTATTTATGGAAGTTTCCAAGTGCAGATCAAAAACCAGATAATAAACGAACAAAACAAAACTCACTGTATTTACTCCACACTTTTTTTGTTTAAGTATTTACTACACACATATTTCCAAAACAGGTAACTTAAAATCCTTAAACACACCATTACCTCTCCATAGCTATACAAGAAGATCATATAATCATGTTGTAATTAACTTAGACAATGTTTAGAAACCCAGACCGTCGAGCAAACCAGAAAAAAAGACTTGGTCAATGGTCACTGGTTCACTGATGTCAGGGTGAACCGGAATTGAACCATAACATCATAATTACGTCATAAATATATGTATACTTACATAAAATAAAGAATTATATGTATTAAAATTACAAAAATTACCAAACTAATATTTTCTTAAATAATTCTTGTAGTTTTTTCTTAAAATATTTAATATTTTTGTCAAACAGGCCATTTCATCATCCCCACTCATCAGGCACATAAAATCAGTATGAGTATGCCTATAATTATTTCCTTTCTCTGTGCATAATGATGCAAATGTGTAGAGCACATTGAATAATTCATGCTACAAATATGAGAACAATTTGATTTTGACTAACTTTGTTTGCGGATTTTGGAAAGTTAGTAGTGTGGTGTATACATACTATTTTTGTAAATTTGTAAATTCAAAAAAGTAACGAAGGTTGGTTTCAATCATTTGTAATGATGTTGCTAAAAACCAATAACAAGTGACCGCATTAACAGGTTCTCTATGAATCTCACATCGGAGCAACACATTGTGTGCGGCATCCAATCACTTTTAAAAGACTCATGCCAGGTTCCAAATTCCCACGCTTTGTGCTTATCTAAAGGTGTAACAGCTCAACACAAACGTTGCATTTGCCAAGCGATTCTAATAAATCAGAACCGGGTCTCACAGTTCACTTGTTTAACAGCGGGTTTTGCCAGTTTTTACATTGTACACAAGTTTTCTATCCCAATCAGTATTGATGCTTTGTCCGGACTGGACCTAAGACCGGTTGACAGGTTAACTGACAGTTTTCTGGATATACACAAGTCAATTACTAACGAGTGCCTTAGGGCATTGTTTAATATTGAAATTTAAAAAAAAAAAATTTGTTTTCAAACTGATGACAACATTAAAAAAAAAAGTACTTTGAAATTAGTGAAAAGTATATTGTGTTCTTTAACTTGTTTTGTGTTTTTTTATTGTACCTATGGGCACTTGTTATCAAGACCCTATACCTAAATCTAACAATTAACTATTCTATTATATTAAAAATACAACTTTGTCACATCCTTTTTTATTCTCAAAGTGGCCTACAATTGGCACACATTTTCATTTCAAATTCCAATTTCCAAATTCCAAATTACTAAATAAAAACCCAAATCAGGAGATGAACCAAAATTGAAAACAAAAACGAGAGTAGATCATGAAAACCAAAGAGAAATTCATAAAGGAAGTGGAAAGAGACCTGGCTTAGGGCGCAATGAAAGACAAGGGTGTCTTTGCCTCTAACAGCTTGAATTAAATTGGGCATTTTGTCAGAGAAAGTATCGCTCGCATAGTGGAGTGAACCAGTTATATGCCCATCGTAACTCCTCTCATCGTCCCTGTAACCCAATCGATCATGTCAATGGAGAGAGAGAGAGAGGGAGACAGAGAGAGGAGATGATTGTTTGTACCTGACATCTACAACAGCGATATTGGGGCGGCGTTTTAGAGAGAGAAGCTGAGAACCTGTGACGTACGATATGCTCTTAGCCATCTCTTCTCTTCTTCTTCTTCTTCTCCTTGTCTGCACCACAGAGGATGATGAAGACGATTTCGTTTTCTCAGATTTTAATAGTGGGTATGGGGCAGTGATCACGTGGTACTCGCGTCATGTGGTTTTCTCTTACTACCAATGATCTTAGCCGTTTGATTTGGCAACTAACATCTTGTGAAAAATAATGGTATATGTACCAATTAATATACACACTAGTATATTAACAGATAATGTGATATCTTTTATATAATTTTGAATATTTGTAACTTGTATAATAAATGTGGTCAATAATAATATCATAATATTAGTTGGTAGTATGTACACTAATTGGTGCATTTAATACCACCGTTTAGGGATGCAATTTAAAACCGGCTCGACGGGGACCCGCTCCCCCGACCCTACTTATAGCGGTTTTTCTCGAAAAATACTCCCGACGGGCCGGGGATGATATTCAAAATTGAATCCCCAATGATTTTCAAGCCGGGGACGAGGATACATTTTCCAGCCCCAGCCCGTCCCCGTCCCCGTTTCCCCCCGAAATAAAATTACTATTATACCCCTCAATCTTCCATTCATATATATACCCTTAAGACTGCATTACACTCAACCCCTCCCATCTATATCTCTCTCCCCTCTACTTTCTCTCCCCTGTCTATATCTCTCTCTCCCATATAATCTCTGTCACTCTCACTCTCGCTCTCGCTCTCGCACCTCTCGCAATCTGTCATCGCCCACTGTCCGTAACGCATCCAGCTCGCACCATCGCTTCACCTCCGTCGACTCTGCCCCTTAGTCCACCTCGTCACTCTCGCACCTCTTCTCCACCTCTATCCACATCACACCACCGCTCCACCTCTTCCGTCATCCATCACCGTCGATATGAGATCTGTTGTTGCCGCTCCACCTCCTCCATTGTCCATCACCGTGGATCTGAGATCTCTTGTTGCCGCTTCATATTATCCGTCGTCCATTGCCGGGGGGTCTGAGATTTATTTGTTAAATGTTGATATTTTGTTGATTTGGGATGATGTTGATGATGATCTGTGACAGTGTTGATGATTTTGTTGTTGTTGTTGATTTATTTATTTTTTTGGGCTGGTGAGTTTTCGGGGTTGGGGAAACCCGATCCCCGTTAGGGGACGGGGATGGGGACGGTAATAGGTTTCCCGTCGGGGAACGAGGCCGGGAACGGAGAAATTTTTATCATCAGGAATCGGGGACGGGGAGTGTGATCCCCGGTTCCACCCGGTCCGTTGCCATTCCTACCACCGTTTTGTGAATTGTCCATGTTTATCAAAATTGTTATCCCCATTATTATTGAATAAGAAAATGTGGGAGTTTGGGAAGTGGGTTTTTTTTGTAGGTTTTTTTAGTTGTAGGATATTATTAGAGAAAAAAAAATTTGTGTTTGGGAAGATAGTTGGATTTTTTGTGATTGGATGTAATGTTTGTGAGAGAAAAAATAAAATTATTATGAGATTTGATATGATATTTTGTTTGGATGTGTTTTTTTCTTATTTTGTAACAAATTTATCTTTTAGTGAAAAAAACTATAAAAAAAAACTAAAAAAATTGTTCCCAAAAATACACCCCACAAACGATGCTTGTCATATATACTTTATAATTATATAATAAAATTGTATAATTTTATACTTTTCGAATCATAATTTAAAAAAAAAAACATAATCAAACATAAAAAAATAAAAAATAAAATTATAATTAAATGTCTCAAAATAATGTCACAATTAAAAAAAAATTAATTATAACTAAAAAATAAAATAACTTAACTAATAGTACATATGATGTGAGGTGTGTTTAATAGAATTCATCTATAGAAGGACTTTAGTAAGATCGTTTGATTTATGACGTTTTCTTCTTGTTTTTAATATTAGAAATTTATATTTATATTTGTACATTAATCAGATATAATATTAAATCTAAAAGTAGTGCTATGATAGACATTTTGAAATGCAAGTTATGATATTTATGAATTTAATTATTGTAAATGACATAATTTAATCTTATTGAAGTCGTAATTAAAATAAAACAAAATAAATTATAACAAAATATATAAAGTATAATTAAACAACTCTTTAATTATAAAAAATAATAATATCATAATCAAAATTATAATAAATTATAACTACATGGCTAAGGATCACAAACCGCTAGCGTGATAGTACCATGGATGACACACTTACTTTCCACACGAAAGAGCAAGGTTTGACACTTTGGAGTGTGCTATTTAGAGTTGGCGTTGTACTACTATTGTCATATCTTACCTCCTATTGTAAGGTGTAAGTGAGATCCATTGTTACTTCAATGGTGGGCCATTTATAATGAATCGGGTTAAATGTGACCGTCAATCGACTATCTCAGGCTATGGGTGGACATCAACCCGTTGACTCGCCCAGACTACTCGTGTGATAACTGGGTACGTAGCCCGTCTCGTTTTCTTTCATTTGTGTTGGGATTACTCGTGTTAAAGTGTCGAGGATTAACTTGAGGTCATGTCAAGCGTTTGGGTTTATCGTCTTTGAAAACTTTTTTTAAATTCTCGTTCTTATTTTTTTTTTGGTGTTGAGTTTCACATGTTTCCGGAGGCGTGAGGTTGGATTCGGGGTGTCTCGGGTTCAAATGCTTAAGTTTTTGGCTAGGAGGCAGAATTGCACGTGCGGGAGCTTGCACCGCATGTACGGAAGAGGGGGCCACAAGTGCGGTGAGCAAGGGATTGTCGAGATGCTCTACTGAAATAATCGCACGTGAAATTGCAAGTGCCGAGGATGGGCCGCATATGCGGGGTGGAGGCCGCACGTGCGGTGAAGGGCGTGCCGTACGTGCAGGAAAACACTAAGTCCGAAAATTTCTACCTTTTCTTCATTTTGGGATGAGTGTATCTCACCTTTTGTATACATCTCTCTCTCTAAAAACCCATTTCTCTTCCTTCTCTCTGCATTTACCTACACCAAATTAGATCAAATCTTTGATTTTTTCAAATTCATTAAAGTTTTGATCATAGCTCCTTCATCAAAGTTCAAAAACTCTTCGAGGGCTATGTTTTATGCGGTGGAGATCGAGTTTCGACACCGTTAATTTTGGGTTATCTTTCTCTCTTTCCTTCTAGAACTTGAGGAAGGGATTTTCTTAGAGTTATATATATTTCTGCAAGATTATGTTGATTTTGGAACTCCTTTTGGTGGTATTGAAATTCGCTTTTTTTTTTTTTTTGCTCAAGAGTGTTGATGATTTTAAAAGTGGGTTTACACCTTATTTTCAAAAATTTCTTGAGAGATTGAACTACATTGTTAAGGAAAGATGTTCTGGAGAGATTCTTCCAAAAAGTTGAGGAAATGTCTAATTTTGGTGAAAACCTAGAAATTGGAGATTTTTTTAGAGATGTTGAGAATTCATGGGTTTTTTACTCGTTAAAATGAATGAATGATTAGGAATTTCATATTGTTGTGTATAAACGAGAAATTCCATGGAATATGAGAAATAGTTGGTTATGAAGTTTATTGTTCAAAAATGTGGATATAATCATGAAATGACTAAATTGTTGAGAATGCATGGAATGTGGAAATGTTGCTACTTTTCGATAGATACAAATGAATATATGTTTATCTCGTAAAAATTCATTGGAAAGAGAAATGGAAATTGTGATTACAATGAAAAATTTGTGTGGGAGGATTGAAAATGGAATAATATTATAATGCATTAATATACGTTGCATTGGTATTTCAATTTATTTGGTTGTTACGAATTTTGAATTAAGATTTGTAAACTTTTGCATTGAGAAAAGAATGTTTGTGAACAAGATCTCATGGAATTGTTTTTGAGGTAAATACGTTGGTAAGTCCGGGTAGCGGGTGTAGTTGATATTAGTTAAATTGGCCTAAGTGCCCAGGGTGAAAAACCGAAAACACGCGCGAAGTAGATACTACATGTCTTCCGGTTAGCTATTGGTAAAGTGGGGATTTGGTAGTGTTAGTTATGCCTACTTGCAGACACCAATCTAGGAATTACCTGAGTCGTATTTACCGCCCCTTGAACTTAATTTAAAATTATTGAATTGTTGAATTTTCAAGATTTCACTGTACATGATGGTTTTAAAAAAGAGGAGGATGCAACTTTCCTTTAAAAGTATAGCATGGCATATGCATTTCATTTCATGAGAATTGTATAAAATGTATATACTTCGTTAAGAATTTCCTACTGGGCTTTATGCTCACCCTATGGGATTTTTGTGTAGAAAACGATGTGGTAATTCCGCCAAACTAAGGGCGTGGAATGCATGTTGAGAGCACAAGGCTCTTGTTTTGTTGTGATTATATTTTTGCAATCAAAGGGTTATATTTGTGTGGGTTCGAGCAACCATTTTGTGTAACTGGACTTAAGCCTTGGACTTTGTAGCCCCTTGAGGGCAATTATTACTTTTGACTGGTTATTTCACATGCTAGAGATTCATTTATTAAGGTCATTGAATGTATATTCGCATGTGGAACTTTTGTAAATCTCTTATAACTATGTATGCAAATGTTGGACATTTGGGGTTGACACGGTTATGAATTTTTTTTTTTTTTTGGGCATTACAGCTCGACCCAATTCCACTTTTCTAGAGATTGTGAAGTTTATTTTAGCCCATAAGGCTGTACTGGGCCAACATTATTATGCCGAAAAATATTAATGAGCTGGTTTGAGATTTATACTTTCAACTTGGCCCAGTCAACTATTAAATAAATTAATTATCTATTTATTTATAATACATTAGAATATATATTTTTTGTTGAGATCTAAACTATATCTTTGTTGATTTTATTGAAATTCACATTTGTGATGATATGTGATTGAATTTATTAGAAATCCATTAATTTATACAAAAAATATTTCAATTTATAATGATATCAATATATTTATTTAAAAAATATAATGTGTGATTAAATTTAATTATAAAATGTTTTTAAAAAATTTAACATATAGCTCAATAAGTGGACTTGGAATCTATATTATAACAATTACAATATATATTTATATTTTTATAAAATAATTAAAATTTAATTTATTCTAAATTATTTTTTTATACA